ATTAATTGTGTATTCCTAAGTTATCGTCAATGAATTGATTCTTTCGTCGTTGAAGATTATATCGATCATATATATTTAATCGATTGTTTTCTCTCTCGATTTCGTATCATTACGTCTCTAGAAATCTCAAATCCCAACCCAAACGTCAATCAATTCGCTCTGGACCTTTTGGAGGGAAAAGTGTCGTTTTTATTTTGACTTTCAATTATTCTGTAAAATCTAGTTTAAAGTGGAATAGGATAGTGCTATTGTGCCTTAATCGAAGATTAAAACGCGAAATTATACGAATCTCGTACTAAAATACCTGTATCGGCCCGTTCTAAGGAATCCCGAGTCAATCCAAACACGCCGCCTCATATTGCCTATCCTCTTTGTGGCGGCCATATTTACAGAAACAATTAAACGAAGACATGGCTCAAAAATAATGTACCAAGACTTGGCTGTATGGTGTAAAACCTTTGCCTTTTCCTTTATGGAAAGAAGAAAAAAAATATGAATGCAAACGTCAATCAAATGTCACTGTAACTGCCAAATTGTAAAATGTATATTTGTAAATCACAAATTTTAAAGACACAGAACTATATATCTTTGTAATTTATGACCGTACTCATGCTACATGAAAAAATTTACAGATCTGCCTTTATCACTCAATCTATCTATGCGCTGTGTGATGAAATCAAGACATGTTGCTGCTGCTTTCACCTAGTCATTTCAATTCTATTTTTAATGTTGATTCATGTAGTTTTCATTCAATGTGATCATCATACCTATTAAATATATTGACCTATAACGCAATTAGCTCTGCTGTATGCAGACAGATTTGCGAGTATTGCTGTCACCCAACAAATATCTATATCCTACATTGACTTACAAATAAATGGACGACGGGTCTAATACAAAAACCACGAAAAAAATGTCCCAGGTCAACCTATTCGAAATTTAAATTGGAATGTCATCGCAGTATCGCGCTGTCAGTCGAACAAATGAAGACTAAAGCGGAGTTTGGCGCTCTGTATACGATTTTAGCGCCTTACAAGTGCGGACACTTTTTAGCGCGGACTCGACGTCCATATAATTGTAAGTCAATGATAACCTATAATAAATACCTATTACCTGAATGTAGGTGCTGAATTGCTCTCCTTGTAACTACTTTCTTAATAACTAAATACATTACAACTTATACCTTGTTTTGATAAGTTAAAGCTAGTAATATTGCCTAGGTACTCATAGTCATGACACCCTGACTAATACTTTGCAAATATCTAGTAATTACATAAATATGTAATTTCAACTGAATCAAAATTTTTGTTTTTTACTGTACTTATAGTCTGACATCCACACGCAAAATAGGCGCCTTGTCGTCGAGTTGCGGACACCAGCCCGTTACACCAAGTACCAAGTATAGTCTGACATACAGGAAATAAAAGTGAGATAGACAAAGATTAGACATAGAGAGAATAAAAATGAAACACAACTAAAGACTTGATAATAAAAGGTACAAATGGTAAAATAAATAATACTTACCTCGTATTTTTAACTACTTAATTCTGGTTTTCATGATGTTGCCATCTCTGAGGTCCTGTGTTCGGTCCCCAGCTGAGTAAATATTATAGAAAATTAACTTTTCTATATTGTCTTGGTGCTGCATGGGTGTTTGTGGTACTGTCTGTGTTTAAAATTTCCATAACTCAAGTGCCTTACTTATTTACTTTGGCATCAGAGATGTCTAATATTTTTACATTTATTCATATTTAAATAGCAAACTTTATACATGATTTGGTGTCTGCTATACTACGTGCTTTACCACATCTCCAGGACCAAGTGCTCAATTCTTATTATTACACTGGTCAAGTTGCCCATTATTTTATTCTATTGTTAGGTTTGTGAAGAATGTTACACTCGGGTGCAGTCGATACATTTTAAAAAGCACAGAAATTATGTTTAGAGTAAACTTCGTATTTATCTTAGAGGATGGAAAAAGAATTTATCCACAGACATGGAACATAAGTTACTTGACAAGAGTGACATAAGCATAAAGTAAAAACCTTTGTTTATATACAATGAGATTATAGTAGGTATCAAATAATACAAACTATTTGCTTCAATACTCCTTAATCTCATACATTAACACACATACTCACCCATTCATACTCAATCCCTTACTATTCACACACCTGAGTAGGAATACCGATCACTATCGCCTGGGAAGTCAGAGTCAGTGTAACTGTTATACACGGGTGCAGCAAATACATTATATAAAGCACAGAATTATGTTTAGAGTAAACAACGTATTTATTCCCAGACATGGAACATGAGTTGCTTGACAAGAGTGACATCTCAAGAATGAGTTAAAACATAAAATAAAAACCTTTGTGTATATCCAATGCGATTATAGTATCAAATAATACAAACTATTTGCTTCAACAGAATATTTTAAATTAAAGTTAATGTGAGTCTGCTGAGTTGCTACCTAAGTGACTATTGCAAGACCTGATTTTTATATTGTGTGAAATATAAACGAAAATTCTCATATATGTTTATTGTTCATTATCACCTCTTGCGTACCCAGGCACTCAATATAAAACTTTATTTGTAAACTACCAGAATAGAATTTAAATAGTTTTGTTACATATTATTATTCAAGTTTAACTACACATGCAATATCCACATACATTAAACAAATGTGTGGGTTTAGGTCCTCGCCCCACATTACTAACACTATTTCACAGTCCTCACTTATTCACTCAAAATATTCAATGGCCATTGTGCTTTCGAGATCTTGGTAATACTTGCTATGCTTGCAGTTTCCTAGTTAGTGCACTTCAATAATAACTGAGTTAAGGCAGGTTGCCATTAAATGGAAGTGGATGCACTTAATAAATCTGGTGCTCATCTAGGTGCAGCTTTAGCTTGTGCTGCAGTACAGTAGTGAGGAAGAAGAAAATGTCTAGAATTGCCTGAAACAATTAAAAAAACATTAGTACTCACACTTTACTTGCCACATTGAGGTTAGGTTTTCATTTTGAGTTTGTATTGTTTATAATTATTGTATTACACCTATAGGTAGGTAGAGAGATCTGTCTGGGTATCTAAAAATGAGTTTTCTGATATACTTTTTAACAGACAATCTGAGTTTAGATTTGACTGCTCTGGTGGTATCAGAAAACATCACAAGCTATTAAAGGTATGTAAAATCCATCAATCCGCACTGAAGAATTATACCTTAAACTTCCACGTCTGATGATGACAATGACGAATAATTACTAATTAATTTTGCATTCCTCTTAATAACTTACGTTTTCCACTACTTCAATTCTGAGAAAATATAGTTATTGTATTCTTTTTTGCTCAAAGGGCCGTCTAATCCAAAGGCCCTTGTAGTATTGTTTCGTGTAGAACACGATAATACCTAGATATCGTTATGTAAAACAATAATGGATTCAAGCGTTTCCTCTGATTTTTGACCTCTTTTTCACAAGGATTTAACTTCCACAGTCAACGCATCAAAACCGTCAATTTTCTCATGAAGTTGTCGGACATTTCTTTTACTAAAAAGTTTGAAAATATCGAAAAATTTGATAACATTTATTATCGCAAGGGTTCACTTTACTTTTTATTTTTATGGCTCCATCAATATGAGAACTGATGATTTTGCCAATGTCACAGTTGAAAGAAGAAAAACGAAACAAAAAAAAATTTTTTGCTAAGCTCTAATAGGCCGGTGTTGGTAAGTTGGACTACGGGAGTACTCAGTTGAGAATGTAAAACAAAACAGCAAAACAATATTTATAAATATATGTTATTTAAGTGGATAAATTTACATAGAGTAACAATATGGGGGGAGAACACTAAAGTTAAGAGGTTGTTTATGTTAATGGGGCGGGGGAATTTTGGAGAAAGTAAGTTATAAAGTGGAACAGCAATATTAGGACAATTGAAAATATCGCAAGGGTTATAATTTTTGACGTTTGACGCTTGATTACAGCTCAATTTGAGCTTCATTGTGAACACGACCATTTATTTTCGTGAACTGTCAGACAGTTTCCACCAATAGGAGTACAGATCACGCAGCCAATCAGAGGCCGTATGCATCGGATTCTTGTGTCGTGCATTCCTGGGGTAGACATGGGCAATAGCGTTACATTTCTATCGCCGTGACTGTCGTTCCGGTTCCAAAAAAATCACGGCGATAAATCACCGTGATTTTGTCATGACTGTTACTTCCGTCACCTTGTCACGCCTATAACTTACATCACGATACACGGTTTTAGCCAGCGGCTTCTTTTTAATACTTATTGCCATTTTTTATAGAATGATTTAAGTTTTTACTCCCTTTGTAATAAGTTTCAATTCCATTCAAAAAGTTGATTTTGTATTTAATGTAATTTTGTTTGTTACTTATTTAATGCGAATCTTTGGATTGTTAAAAATAGCAATAAAGTGTAATGTAATTATATTTCTAGTAGAATACACAAAGTAGATTATACATAAATATAAAATACCAACTGTTCCTATAATAAAACAAATAAACAAAAATATGTTACTTTGTTAATAAATAGGTTTATAGTAACTGCTGCAGATTTTTTTCATCCGCCCTTTCTAGTTGTAATAAGCACCTACGACCTTTGTGAGTGAGCAAAGAAAGTCATCTTATCTCACTCACTCCCATCGCCGAAATGGCCCGATTTGAAGAGAACTACAACGAGTGGCGCGCTTAGTCACCACGGAACGGAGATCGCGCATTGTATCAAATACGTATGTCGTGATGTGAGTGACGGGGATAGCCATTGGAACAGAGGAAAGCCTATGTGACCTTGGAACGTCGTTCCTTCGGAACGAGTCACGGTGATGCTGTTTGACGGCGGATCATCGTGATTTTTTCATCGTGACGTTATTTATCACCCACCTCTATCTTGGGGTGGACATTCTCGGGTCGAGCATTACTGTGTCGTACATTACTGTGTTGGGCAATATAGGGACTCGCGCATTCCTGGGGTGGACATTCTCGGGTCGAGCATTACTGTGTCGTACATTGCTGTGTTGGGCAATATAGGGACTCAAAAATAGTCTAGGTTTATTTTCTTAACTTTGTTTGCAGCTACGTCAGGTATGCTAAGCTCAGGTAGCTTAGTTTCGCTTACGGTGTGACCTGCGCTTAAATGACAACCACAAAAATAAGAAAGATATACGAAAACCAACTGTGATAACCTCCAAATGTCAATGCTAACTGCGTTACACTTATCTAAATACACTGGACCCAAGCACTCGGCCACTGTCATATATTTTCATGGGTCGGGTAAGTTCAGAATAATTCTTATATGCACTTTGTACGTTGATATTATGAGCACCGGCCCTTAATGTCTGCGATCTACGACAACTGGCTTTTCCAACCTCAAAATTGTTAGTAATTACATAGTAGGTATTCTACATTCATTGTTTTTATTTCGTTATTTCATAGGAGGAAATGGTCGTGATATGAAAGAATGGGTAAGACTGATGGTCAAAAACTTCACATTTCCACACATCACTGTATTGTACCCTACAGCACCAATTCAGCCTTATACACCTGCTAGTGGTCAAAGCAATACTGTATGGTTCGACCGTGCTGATGTATCTAAACATGTAGCTGAGAAGGTCGATTCTATAGCCAAAATAGAAATCGAAATAAAGAAGATGATTGAGAAGGAAAATGAAGCTGGAATACCAAGTAACAGAATTATTGTTGGTAAGTAATTCTGTTCACTATAATTATACCTCTGTTTACATATACTCCCTGCAAGCAGGTGTAAAGCACTGAAAATGTGAAATTGGTTCAAATGCTCAGCTTCATGTTAATCATTCTGGTATTATTATTATTTGGGTGGCTTCATTTGAGGCCTATGAGGACCCTCATCACTGCGACCATAAATGATCTATTGTGATCACCACTAATCACAGCTCGGAGCCAAGACCAACAGCATTAAGGAACTGAAAGACTTTCCTGGCTCCGACAGTCTTTATGTCCTCTGGGTGTGGCCTGTGCCTACCCAGTATGGAACTTCTCACCCCATCAGAGGGCTCATTCTGGTAAAACTATTCTGAAAGTTTTAATCAAAAGTAAAAAGTAGAGTTTTTATTACTGGGACAGAAAGGTTACAGAAGGCCTATTGTGCATGGTTGACACTTAAGTCTTAAGTGATTTATTAAAAAGTAGAGAAATCACAAATGATTGTTATAGTTTTATGAATCATATGAAAAAAGGTATCAATTATCTATTACAATTTGTATACAGGGTAGGTAAAGAATGGATGAGCCTGAAATGCCTTATAGTAGAGCTTATGAACGTTAAAAAAAATATATAAAGAAAAATATATCCCATGTAACAAAAATAAATAAAGAAATAAATAAAGTAAATAAATAAATAAAATTTAATTATTTTCACTTTATTTTACGTTTTTTTACACCACGGCTACAAGTTAATTAATTCCTTCGGTTTTTTGGTGTCATAATATTCTACATTAACTATGCTAATAGATAGGCAGTAAATAGTATGACTAACTATGGAACTTAAATGAAAAAAAAACTTTTATTTCATTTTTCAGTGCAAAATTTTTTCTCCGCATGGCTTAATTGAACCATTTTTTGTCCTGGATTGACTTTACCATTGAGGTTTAATAAAAAAACAATATTAGACATAAATACAACTTTATTTACAATTTGTTTACAGCATAAATCAAATCTAAACAATTTTTACATTGTTAATATACCATGAATGTACCACCCGTGAATATACCACGTGTGACAGTTATTTGTTACCTTCGCGGTCGCCGCACCACTCGTCTTTTGTTTTATATGAGATAAGGAGGGTCAGTGTCGGCTAGCAAATGTTTTCAGGAAATTAGTGCGTTACTCTATTTTTTCGACATCGCATGTGTTATCCGTTCGCAATTGTTGTGATTTACTTTCAATCAGTGTTAAAACGACGAGCAGGCTCTTTAATGGACTATCGTTTTGCTTACTGATTTGGACTTTGTTTGGTTATTGCGACGACTTAGCTTATTTCTAGACTGAACAGAGTTTTTGGGTCTGTAAATAAAAATGCAACGCATTCAATATACTCCCCAAGACTATGCAAACATGCACATTATTTATGGGGAATGTGCAACCAACGCAAATGCAGCTGCAGCTCTTTATAGGGAAAGATACCCTAATGCTCGTCACCCAGATTACAGCGTGTTCATGAGAGTCCATGCATGTTACTCAGAAGGAGGAAAGCCTGGTAGTGGTGTTGGTGGTACTAGCACTGGAAGAATACCTCGTGGTGACAACGAAGAGGTAGTGCTTGAGGAAATTGAGCAAGATCCTTCCACCTCGACGAGAATAATAGCACGACGCACTGATATTTTAAAGAAAAATAAATTCCATCCCTACCACGTTACACGCGTGCAAACTCTCCAACCGAGAGATTACGTTTTTGCCACAAATGCTAGGTAAGATAGAGGAAGACCCGCAATTTTTTAACAAAATTCTATGGAGTGATGAATCAAGCCTTAAAAGAGATGGCTATTTAAATACTTGGAAGACCTTACGTAGCCGTGGCAGTGCAGCCGCTGCAACAATAAGTGAACGACGATATACGTGGCTACTCAAAAGGTCTTTTATTCGAAGATGTAGAGCCTGCATCAGAGTTGGTGGCAAACAGTTTGAACATTTGCTGTAAACAAATTGTAAATAAAGTTGTATTTGTGTCTAATATTTTTTTTTTTATTAAACCTCAATGGTCAAGCTCAAATCAGGACAAAAAATGGTCCAATTTTGAAAATTTAGTTTTTAGTCCAATTTACTCCTTTTGCACATTAATAGCAATAATTTTCTATTTATATTAGATACAATAATGAATTATACCATTTTAAAATCTACTTTAGAATAGTTGGCCACCCAGGTTATCATAATTTTTTTTTTTATATCAAAGATGCTTAAACTGTGTGAAAAAAAAAATTGCTCTGAAAATTAAAATAAAACTTTTTTAAATTTAAGTGCCATAGTTAGACATACTATTTACTGCCTATCTATTAGCACAGCTAATGTAGAATACTATGACACCAAAAAACCGAAGAAATTGATTAACTTGTAGTCGTGGTGTACAAAAACGTAAAATAAGGTGAAAATAATTAAATTTAAAGAAAAAATAATATATCTTAGGTACTACATGGGATATATTTTTCTTTATATATTTTATTCAACGTTCATAAGCTCTACTATAAGGCATTTCAGGCATATCCATTCTTTACCGGACACCCTGTACATGTTACGTTATGGTTTAAAGGGCTGTTTTCCATAACTCTAGATAATGTCTTGTCAAATTATATAATATATATGTATAAAGAAGTTCCATTAATCGAAGATACAGGGTTTTATTTGTATTTCTGTATAATTTCTAATTATACAGGATTTACATTTTTTTTACTAAAGGAAAGTTGATATAAAGCTACATAATATTGAACGTATATGTTACTTTGTAGAACAGACTTAAATACGTTTGGGTCCACATTAAAAGTAATACTTAGATTCACTATGACAGAGGAATGAGATAAAAATGGTACAAAAAAATATTTTCTTTAAAAATACTTAAAAATTTAGTGCATTGTTAGCATTGACCTACAAACAAATAGACGTCGAGTCTAATACAAAAAACACGAAAAAAATGCCCGAAGTTAACCTCTACAAACGTAGTGACATGTAACGAAATATAAAAAACTAAAACATTTAATTTAAATTGTAACGTCATTGCAGTACTGCCTAATTTTGAAATATTCAGCTTTTACTGGAAACTTAACAAAATGCACCATATTTAGCTTTGACAGAAAATTACTTGAACACAAAAGTAACAGCACCTTTATCTTAAATATTTATCATAAATATTAATTAATTTTTATATATGTATATACTATTATGTCGAATTTTGTACAAATTCACTTAAAGAAATAATAAGGAGTTGGGTAGATACATACGTACAAATATTACTACAATTGTGAAAATAAGCGTGTACTATAAGAAATATACTGATATTCCAACTAAACGTAAACTCAAGTATCCGAATACCGTTACGCTTTCGAGTAATTTTGATGTTTTTCACAAGGACAAAATTAGTTTTTGTTTTGTAATCTTCCTAAAAAAATACATTTGACATTTATGAAATTTCGAGCTAACGTCATTTCGGCCAAATGTATTTTCTAACTGCTGATAGGTAATCCCAAGCCGTAAAACGAGTATAAAAATGTTTTGTTAGTTATTGCTAACGTTTAATTAAAAAATCATTTTAAAATTAAGAGTTAAATCAAAGCGACTCTATAGTTTTTTTGTTCTAAATATTTCAATCGCTTGTGGTTCGCACAATTGTTATTGATAATGACCAAGAAGTTTATATAAGCTTCTTCAAACTGACGTAATGGGTCTCTTTCCATCTTTTGCTCATGCAATGTGTAGAAAAAGGACACTTAGCTATTTGATTATTTTGTGTGCTTTTATAATGTATAATTTACGACTCATTTATATATAAATTAATTACTATAAAACTGTACAAAATAACACTTTAAAATGAGAATTATCATAACACAATATATTTGTTTAGTGAAAATATTATACAAAATCCTGTTTTGACACTTTACAGCAGTAATTTTTACAAGTTATTATTATATGGTACTGCATGATTGACAACCGCGCTGTCAGTCGAACAAACGAAGACTGTTGCGCAATTGACGCTCTGTGTGTGATTTTAACGCCTATAGGTGCGGACACTTTTTAGCGCGAACCCGACGTCCATCTATGTTGTTAGCATTATATTATTTTATAACATAGCACAATGCAGATTTTGACATTTCATTTGAAGTCTTGTTTAGACTAGTATGGACAATGTATACAAAGTTTTTTCAAAAGTTATACTAAACAGAATCCAAATATGTAACAAATACAGCAGGACCTAGGATTTGTGGACTACAGTAAGGCCTTTGACACCATAAAACACAAAGAACGCAATGGGAAGCAGTCAAACAACATGGTGTACATTCAAAATAATACAAGACGGCTTTGCAAAAATTTTATTGGAAAAGAGTGGCAAGGAATTTCCTATAGATAAAGGAGTAAGACAAGGATATTCCTTTGTCATATATTGGAAATTCCTCGCTACTTTGAAAAAAAATCTTCCAGTGCCTAAACTGGGACCACCTCAGGTTAAACATCAATGATGCAAGGTTGAATCACCTCCGTTTTGCCGACGATCTCATCTTGATAACGGACAGTCCTGTCACACTGGAATTGATGCTACAACAACATGCACAAGATAGCGCCGTAGAGGGTCGATCAATCAATGTCGTAGAAACAAAACTGATGACGAATAGAAACAAATCAGTAATAAAAGTAAATAGAAAACCTATTGAATACTCTTAGTGAATTCTGTCGAAATTCACCGGTCAATTTTTAAGTAAAAACGCGCGTGTTCTTCAACTTGACTTTGGCGAAATGAGCGATTACTTCGATGGGGCCATAACATTTAAAAGAAGAAGAAGAAAGAACGAAGAAGAAAAGTTGGAGGTATGCTAAAATGTGTGGAAAGAAGCATGATGAACATGAGAAGAAAAGACAGAAATAGCATCAAGTAATATCAACATAGAACAATGGTACACGATGCTAAGAACTACATGAGGAAGCTAAAGTGGCGTTGGGCTGGACACATCATGAGGGAGACTGGATAACGGACCAGAGACATAACAAAGTGGTAACCAAGAGAAGGAAAACGCACACAGGGAAATAGATGGGAAGATGATTTACAATTGGCGGCAGGACCTTTTTGGCAACGACAGGCATAGAACAGGAAGAACTGGAGTCTCTGGAGGAGGCCTATCTATACATATATGCGAAATACAAGCTGATGCTGTGGAGGTAATTACAAAAAAATGTTGTACATAAATTTATTGAATTATGAAATTATTAATCTTGCGACAATTTATCTTGAGACAATCTTATATAACTTTAACAATTTATTTGTCAATTTATTATCAACTAAAATTTTTAAAGTATTAACTGTCTTATATGTTGAGGAGTAGTGGAAAAATCAGGCTCAAAAAACAGAAACGAACGAACCACAGGCAAAAATATACATAAACAAGGAGTAATAGATAAATAGAAAATAACTAAAAAGATTAATATCTGCTTTGTCTAGTAGCCGGTCCGCAACGTCTCTCCCTCTCTTTCAACAGAGATAGAGGTAACAGAAAACGTGACAGAGAGAGAAAGGGCACGGAAAGGCTATCAGACGGGAAACTGCACCAGCTTTTTGCAGCGCAGCGTACGAGCCCGGCTGCTGTGGTAACCTCGGCTACGCGCACGATATGGTCAGTTCCCGGAAAAAGTCGTGTGACGCGACCACGCGCCCAAGGGGCATAGTGGCATCGACAATGAGCACGAGGTCACCGTCAGCAATAGGGGTGGCGACTTCGCCGGAACTGCGCCGAGGAACGAGTGTCGGGAGATATTCCTGTAGCCACCTTTGCCAAAAAATATCCGCCAAGCTAACCGCCTTCCATCATGAAGCACGTTCATTTAAGCCCTGCGGTTCCGCTGTAGCAAAATTGTTCGCAATGGAGGAGGAACGAGGTCAATTCTTCTTCTTCTGGCTGGACGGAGACATGGGTTAAAGGCCTTGAGTTAACAACGGCTTCTGTTTCCGTCAATAAAGTGGCGAATACATGTTCTTTAGGAGCTCGCTCGGACAATGTCCCTTTTAGTGCGGCTTTCACTAAGCGTACTAGCCGTTCCTATGCTCCACACATCGAAGGCGCTGCAATTGGGATGAGTCTCCATTCCACATTCTGATTAACCACAAAATTTTGAACCTACCTCTGGGCCGTGCAGTTGTCGTAGGAACTTGGAGGCGTCGACAAATGCTGTCCCTCTTCTCGTGCCTCCTTCCGATAGACACCTGAACGGGGCCGAAATAATCTAGGCCTAAGAATAAAAATGTTTGGCGATAATAGGCAAGACGGGCAGGTGGAAGGTTTCCTATAGGAGGACTTGGGACTCGTACTCGGTTGATTTTGCAAAGTTCGCAGTCGTGTGCTACGCATCTGACGGCGCTTCTAAGATTCAGAATCGAGACTGTTGTCGCAGCTGTTTGACGAAGGTCTCGTTGTTGACGTGGATCAAGCGACGATGGTGGTGCTGGATCAAAAGTTTCGTAGCTGGATGGCCTGAGTCTAAAACTATAGGAAAGTTGGTTATTCCAGTCAGATCAGCCATAGCTACTATGCGATCTGACAGTAATATATTCTCTAAATCTATATTTCCCAAATGAAATGTAGAATATTTAGCAATATCTACTATAGAATGTACAAGTTTGTGAACTAATCAAAAAGTGTATTATTTTGTGCTGCTATTATTATTAAGTGTGATAATTCTGTTTTTGAATAAAGCTCTTTATTGAAAAGTAGGCAACCATCTCGTGGTAAAAGAGGTCTCAAAACCTGTTATAAATTTAAGCTTATAGTCCATTCATATAATATATTCCATACCTTTTATGAAGTAAGTGCATAAACAAACCACTAAAAATAACATTGTACAGTTAGCAGCACATCAAGCTATACACTTTTGTTTGAATATCGCCTTTAGAGCCACGGAACAAGATCCATAAATGTGCAACTTGATGCTAAAGAAAGAACTTTAAAAACAGATGTTTTATACTAACAGCCGCAAGTACGCAATTGTAATCGTAAATTATCGTATAATTAAATTATACGTGGTGCTTTTGAATGTTATACTTTTTAACATATATAATATTGTTTATTTTCACCTTGCAGGCGGGTTCTCAATGGGTGGCGCATTAGCAATGCATACAGCATTTAGATGGGATCGAAATTTGGCGGGAGTTTTTGCATTTAGTTCATTTCTAAATGATAAATCAATTGTGTTTGATGACCTAAGAAATAGCCCCAGCGACAAATGTGAGTATCATCCCGGTTTAAAATAAAATTTCGCATTACAAATGCGTAACATGTAACGACACAATTTGTAACATTCGGTCGCTCCTTTACCGGGAGCATTCGTAATGTAACAATCTGTTCAGATTGTAAGAATGCGGTTCCACCAGATATAGTGCGAGTGACTGTGTGCACTCACAGGCACGCAAAGGCAATCACACGCACTCGGAGGCACTCGCGCCTTGCTACCGCGCACATCTCTGGTGGAATCGCAGCCTAATGTTCGAAATCGAATCTTAATTCGTATGAAGGAAAATCAGTTCCACTTCGTGTGCATGAATTTAGAAAGTAATTTATTAATATGTAAGAAAATTATAATCTTGTATAATAACTTTACTGATACTGAAAATTTTAGTCGTTTTGTTAATTTAATTAGTCAAAAAAAAACCAAATTTTATTCCAAATATTTCTTGTGTATTAACTAAACCAAATAGGTACCTAACAAATGCGCATACTGTTGTAATTCTGGCTGCTGCAGTAACTTTATTTATGTATGTACACACGAATATTCAAAGATAGTAAGGGGTATAAAATATGTAATTATATAATACGTTGTAGTCATTTTTGTGACGTCAATATATTCTTTGATTGGTACCTACCTTAGGTACCTACTACCTAATACTATTTAATACTAATGAAATGAAGGAAAATTGTTTAAGGGCCAACTTGATTTGTATTTTTTGGCTCTTCTGTAAAATTTTATCTAAAGCACTTACAAGGTTTTGCTCTGGGGCAGCCGAAACACCTGTAATACTTACCTACACACGATAGGTAATGAATATAATATTTTTTTCTTTCTAGGTTAATTTGTCGGGTGCGTTAACTTAATTCATTATGCATTAAGTACGCTTTTAGTAAACATAAATAATCCTGGGTGCATTACTCATAACACTCATCATACTGTAACCTATTTGTACAGCATACAGCATAGTTATACAGCATGGGCCCCCATGCTGAGTAACGCACCCAAATTTTTCACCAACGTAATTAGTATGGTTTCATTGTGGGGTGTACTCCTAGAAGATCGAGAGACTAACATGTTTTACTTTAATTACTGCACTTAAATAAAAATAATGAACTGATTGTTGACAAAAATTACTCGATTTCCAGTACCGCCGATTCTTCAGATACATGGAGATAGTGACGATTTGGTGAATTTGGATTGGGGTCGGAGCACCTTCAATGAACTAAAATCTCTCGGTGCTCAAGGCGAATTCCACGTCATGGAGCGGTTAGGACATTCAATTAACAAACAAGGAATGACTATCATAAAAGAATGGATAGAAAAACTACTACCTGAAGTGTAATTAGCTAAACTGAAAAGTTCAATTGAACTGCGAGCTGACTTAAGAAATAGAATTAGATATTATATTGTGATATTGTAAGACCAAGGACTTTAATTATTTTTTGTATAAACGTAATCGTTACCGATCAATAAAAGAGGCGTGTTTTGCTTTATTCTCTTTATTCTGCTTTAGTCATTGACCTGCCGAATGGTTTTAGTAAAATTTTTATTACATAAATTATTCATTATAGTGTCGGTATTTAAGTAGTTTCTCTTTTATTATTTATTATTATTACGTTTTCCAGTCTTGAAGAGTGGTGCTGGTGAAATTACAGGCACATGGGACTTTTCAATTTATTTGCTCCAGATGAACAGGGTATTATCTCAAAACATAATTTTTCGGAGAGCAATTTTAAAGTTTCTTCTAGCATTATTTCAGCGTCTATTGTTATTTGGCTTTCCTCACCTAAAAGTCTACACATTTAACAGTATTTTCGAATATTTCGTATTCTTATACAGTTCCATAGTTTTGATAAAATCCTTAAATTGTTCAGTGAGATATACAATATTACTCTTTGGACCTAAAATATTTGTCATTCAGAGTTTTATCTAGCCCATTCATGCTTCATATCTTTTAAATGAAAGAAGGAACAATATTCGATTCGATAAAACTTTGAGGAACATGGTAGTATCTCAAAAATTACTCTGTTCTGTAGTATAACATTACCATAAGAATTCAAGCAAAAAATATCCCAAAAAGGTGAGAGTCAGAATAGCGGGTGTACCTACCTTAACGGGTACAATCCTCCAAATTTAGTATGAAAAAAATGTACCTAATTTGTACTGGTTAGAACCTGTGTTTAAAAAAATTAGTACCTCCATCAGAACGAAGTTATAGTAAGGTTATAGCAATATCAAAGTACACCCGCCGTAATAACTGTCAATATGCCGGCCGGGTGTACCTCGTATTACCAGTATATAATTAATAGCCTTTTAATAGCTATAAAACCTTCTTATTCCAAAAAATTTAATAGTACTCTGAAGTAAAGGAAACTCCAGCTCGGTCTGTTGGTTAGTTTCTGAGAAATAAGATAAAATATGTTGAGATTTCAGAGTGCCGTGTCTTAATGAATCCTGACATATTTGGTACCGAAAAAATGTAGCAAAATTGTACTATTTAGTACTTATTCTTAAAAAAATAGTACCTCTATCATAACGAAGTTATAGCGAAATCAAAATTGTACAAATTTTTGTTTTTTTTTAAATAAGTTTCCGCCATTTATTTGGGTAACTGGACGAAGTTTCCACCATACAGCCTCTTCATATGCGAGTATTTTTCATTGTTCTGTTGGAAAAGGTGACAAGCGCCTGTTCTTATATTATTCAAGTTTATTTCATTTTAAGGGTTCATGCCATTTAATTGTAGAGGACAGGGAATGCGTCGTATGTTTTTCAATAAGCAGGTCTTTTATTGATTTAGTCGTTTGACATTAATATTATATTTTTAAATATTCTCACTAGAATACAGAATACGTATTAATATGTACTTGGTACTTGGTGCAACGGGCTGGTATCCGCAACTCGACGACAAAGCTCCTATTTTGCGTGTTAATATGTTATTATATTAATAGCAAATAAAGCTAGAGAGGGGCGGAGGGTGATCGTAATCGTTACTTTTTTATTGTGACCATCAGGATGGCTGGTCGCCTGTGGCGCCAGGCACTGAATGTATATTCAAGAATTGTTACCTATTTGCTACCTTTTCTAAATAATTGCTACCTATGATATATTCTGAGAAATAAAAAAATAAAATAGCCCTGTGTAAGTGCACTGTAACAAACTACGATAAAGATTTTGTTCATACTTTTGCTAAAAAATTAAAACTATAATTTTTTTAACAAATATATAATTACAACTAAATTCTTTGTTAATATTGCGTTATGATTGTTACCTACCCTCTTGGCTTTATACATTAGCAATCTCACCAGCAGCAGGCCTATTTTGTAACTTTGACAGCTTCAGTTGATAACTGAGTTCAGTTGGTAACCGAGTTCAGTTGATAACCGAACCCAATCCCACCTCGAAGTAATTGTTGAACGCCTGCCCTTTATATTATGGCAATAAAGCATTAAAAACTTTTGCTTTTTTAGTTTAGTCAGGCACTATTTCGCAAAATTTTCAATCGGTTATATTTTTTTAACTAATTTAAATATAAAGCGTATACCTATAATTCGTGAAGGTAGCAAATAGGCAGCAATTATTGGTAATACATACTTCTGGAAAATTTGCTCCCTTCGTGCTGAACAAAGAGGCGACCCGCCATCCTGACGTCAGAATGGCTGGTCAAAATTTTTTTAAAATTTCTCAGAATATATCATAGGTAGCAATCATTTAGAAAAGGTAGCAATTCTTGAATTTACACTCAGTGCCAGACGCCACAGGCGACCAGCCATCCTGACGGTCACTTTTATTCTCTGCTTTGGTAAAAGGTCAGTTATCTACTGCATTTTTACAAAGCACCATTAGAATAAGTTTAAAATCCAACTTCGACTTCCTAGGTCAGTTTTGTTCTACGATGCAGTAAAACTATTTCCGGGAATCCCGAATTCGAAAAAGTAATAAATTAATTTATGGTGGTTTTAACAGCTCTATGTCGCTTCTTGTAGCTTTATTGTACACAATACGTACATACATGTATCTATAGTATATGTGGAACACCTTTCTCCGACCATTGCATCAAACAAACTATATTAAGGACACGCACTTGTAAGCTTTTCAATCAAAACAAGGAAAGATACTGACATATAAAGAGGCTGTTTGGTGGAACCTTTGCCTAGACATCCAATAGCGGAAATTTATTTAAAAAAAGTTATGAAAATATTTACAATTTTGATTTCGCTATAGCTTCGTTATGATAGAGGTACAAATTTCATAAGTACTGAATAGTACAATATGCTACATTTTTTTGGTACGACATACGAGGGGAGGTCCAAAAGTCCGCGGAATGGAGGGGTTGTAAATAATATAAAACAATAAGGCTATTTTTCCTTTTCAATATAATTACCTTTGAGCTCAATACATTTTGTAGATCTCGAAATTAGCTTTTATATGCCATCGAAAAAATATTTTTTCTCTTTGCTCTCAAAATGAGCTAAAATTGCTGCCTTAACCTCTTCATCGTCGCGAAATTTTTTCCCACGTAATTCTTTTTTCAAATTTGGGAACAAATAATAATCGCTGGGGGCTAGGTCCGGGCTGTAAGGTGGGTGGGTCAGCGATTGAAAGCCACACTTGTGTAGAACAGCCATCGCAACATTGCTCTTGTGAACCGGTGCGTTCTCTTGTAAAAGCAACACACTCTTTGTCCATTTTCCCCGCCTTTTTTTCTTTGACAGCTTCCTTCAGTCTCTCTAATGTTCTTGCGTAATATTCTCCCGTTATATTGACCCCCTTTTCTTTGTAGTCAACCAATAAAATACCTTCACAATCCCAAAAAACCGTAGCCATGATTTTTCGATCCGATTCCGACACCTTAAACTTCTTAGGGGGTGGTGTACCCTTTTTATGCCATTGCATTGACTCCTGTTTGGACTCGGGCTCAAAGTGATGAACCCAAGTTTCATCTCCAGTAACAATTTGCTCCAAAATTGGGGTAGGTTCTGCGCCACACAGCTCCAAGAAGTGCTTTGATGCATCGATTCTTTGTTGCTTTTGAGGCGGCGTGAGCATTCTCGGCACCCATCTTGCACTGACTTTCGTCATGCCAAGATGATCGTGTAGGATCCTCAAAATGATAGTGTCTGATACTCCTACTAATGCAGACAGCTGTTTCTTCTTCAGACGGGCATCTTCCAATATAAATTTTTCGATTTTCTCAACATTGTCTGATGTGGTGGCCTCAACTGGCCGTCCTGGGCGAGGATCGTCTTTAATTGATTCTCTGCCATGTTTGAAAAGACCGTGCCACTTGTAAATCATTGTTTTACCAGGGCACTGATCCCCATAAACAGTTTCCATCTCATTCATAATGGTTTGAGGAGGTTTTCCTTGCTTGGTAAGGAATTTGATGACAGCACGAAACTCGATTTGCTCCATATTTGCAGTTTTCTTCCGGATTTACTTGTTTGTAGGGCGATATCTCGTAAACTAATGAAGTTAAAAGGGTGAAGCTTGATATATATACCCCTAATGAGTATCTGATTAGTACCACATCAAGCAAGCGTAATTAGCGGGCTCCCTCTCACCAGATGGAAAGTCTCGCTTTCAAGTTATAACCGCTCGCGCGATACATGCAGCCGTAGACGCATACCACACCTAGAGGTGCCCCCTCCATTCCGCGGACTTTTGGACCTCCCCTCGTACGTCAGGATTCGTTAACACGGCACTCTGAAATCTCAACATATTTTGGTCTTATTTCTCAGAAACTAACCAGCAGATCAAACTTTAGTTTCCTTTACTTCAGAGTACTATTAAGGTACAAATTTTTGGAATAAGTCTGGTAATCCGAGGTAATATATGTATTAGTATATTAGTATACGAGATTTAGTATATGGCCATAAATTTTTGTCCGAGGTACACCCGCCATATTGACAGTCAATACGGCGGGTGTACCTTTGATATTGCTGTAACTTCGTTCTGATGGAGGTACAAATTTTTTAAACAGAGGTACTGAATAGTACAAATTAGGTACATATTTTGATACCAAATTTGTTAGGATCTGTTAAGGTACACCCACCATTCTAACTCTCACCCCAAAAAGGTATATTACCTTGAAATCATTTTTAGAAATATTTTTAAAGTGCACTTACCTTATAATGAACACGTGCTGTGTTTTAATTTTAATACCCTGTTCAACGAACGACGACGTCTTGACGACTACAGCTTGCATTACATTATTACAGCAGTGTGTAATACTAAATACGACTGTATTTCTCAATGTATGGGGCCAAGATGTGCAAAAACTTTAGATATACCTACTACCCTGCCTCTCGCGCCATTCCACGTCAGATCGTTACAAGACCTTGTTCATTAGAAAGATCTCGATTTTTTATGGGGCTGCACGAGAGTATAAAGATTAAAAGAACGGACACTCTCCGCCCCTCCCTGGTTTTTTAGATACCGCACCACGCCCCGCACATTGCCGGTCACATTGACTGAACGACAACAAGGCTGCCGGCGAGCCGTTATCGCGCGAAGACGGCTTTGGTATTTGAATATAGTTTTCATTTATTCATTACGAAACTTGTACGTTAACATAAAACATAATTTTACGTTACTATGTATAATGGTCGTGAATTGTGCTGTGTGCGGCTCCTTGTCATCATTTTCCAAAAGATGAACCGAAGTAAGTAAAAAAAACTTATGTCTGAGACTTATTCAGTTATTGTTTTCTTCATTTATTTACTGCAGAGTAATATATGTTTGTATAAAAAATACAGATTTATTATATCAATATGATGAGATGCCATGACTTCGCGAATTTTCTATTCATATTGCCGATAAATATTACTTACGTAGTGAATATATCTAATTTAGTAACTAAACTTGGACACGCTATTTCAAATACCTTGGTTACCTTACTTAAAAGTACGTCCGAAATATAACATTTTAAGTGCTTTTAATATATTTTTGAAATAAACTAGTTAATGAGTTAATGGCTTACAAATAAATGGACGACGGGTCTAATACAAAAACCACGAAAAAAATGTCCCAAGTCAACCTATTTAAACGTAGTGACATGCAAAGGAATATGAAAAAGCTAAAACGTTGAATTTAAATTGTAATGTCATCGCAGTACTGTCTAATTTTGCTTGCTTCGCTGTCAGTCGAACAAACGAAGACTAAAGCGTGAATGACGCTCTGTATACGATTTTAACGCTCTATAAGTTCGTACACTTTTTAGCGCGGACCCGACGTCCATATAATTGTAAGTCAATGGCTGAGATCATAGATTTAATATATGGCTGAGATTAGTCTATTATCTCTGAATATATATATATATCTAATATAAACACACCCAACTCGTTTATATCAACTCCACCTACGACTATTGCTCATGATACATCTACACTGTCTTCTCCTCAGTTTTCTGCCCTCGAATCTCAATCATCACATCAATCTACGACTTTTGAAGTCATCACCCAAGTACAGAGATAGATCCACCAACTATACCAATTGCTGCGCCACAGTGCACTCATCGCGCTGTCTCATTGAGCAGATATAGGGAGGAAATATTTGTAAGTCAATGGAGGAAATGTAATGTTTGAAATAACGTGAATCGAGAATGCAATCGATGTTTTATAAAGTATTTTTACGAAAGGTACACATTACGAAACGTACATTGACAGATGTTAGGAAAATATGTGATTGCTAGGATACATAAACCACCCGGGCGGCGTCGTGGTGAATGTTCATCGATTCCACGGCGCCGACTCAACCGGCGAGAGGGAAACCCGGAGAGTTTTAGTGGGGTAGGCCCTCCAATCTGGAGGGAGAGACCCCACATAACCCCTGAGTCTCCCTGGGCTCAGGGGTATCTATAAAGATTGTCCCCCGTCAAAAAAAAATACATAAACCACAAAGCATGCAATCTTCTTAACAGTGTTCTCTATGGTCGTTTTGTCGTCAGTTTTTATAAAGTAAAAGCTGTGTATGTATTAGAAAATTAAATTGTATTCAATATCAATTCATTAAAGGACACGTCAACCATTAAAACTGTGCAAAAACGAACTAATTCCTTTCGGTCATTGTTAGGAATTCATTCTTAACAATTTCTAGTTTATGAACTACTCAAGCTTAATTAATTGTCATTGATAAGTAACGATAATCGTCGTACAGTCTCTCTCTTTTAGAGCCACCTCGTCAGCAGCCGCAATACGACGACAAGTCAAAATTTTAAACATAGATTATATCCTTAGAGGATGGAAAAAAAAGATTATATCTGGTCTATTTGCTCATGTATAAACTATATTATTTTTGTATGTTGTCAAAAGCCGATAAAAAAAATAAAATGCGTTCAAAAATGCTCTTTGACGTTATTTTTTCATAAATTGAAAGTCAATTCTATTTAAAGAAAAAAATAATAATTTCAAAAGTACACAAGGCCCAAATGTACGTTTTAATCAAGTCTGATTGAAATGGGTCCTAATCCTAAAAAGGGCAAAGACTCCAGCAAAGAAGCCAATACTAAGAACTTATGGCGTACTATTATCGAAAATGGTGTCCTTGATGACAAGAAATGGAGTGTGAAGGTAATCATGTTTGAATCCGCAGGTGGCGAACAAGACTGCTCATACCTCACGAAGTTTGAAACCTTCGCGATTGGAGAGAAACGTTTTGTAATCAAAAATATTTGTAGGACTGAAACTATGTTCATGATTAACCAGCTTGGTGTCGAGAAGAAAACAAAAGACGATAATCTGAGAATATTTGAAGAAGCGCAATATTACTTGAAAGAAAAAATAGATATACCATCGGACATTCTTGCTTTAACTATAAAATATTTGATATTAAAAATGAAAGATGAATACCTCTTCATTAAACGAAATAGACTTGAAGTTCAGGAGGGATTGCGAAAAGAATCGGCTACTATGATAGATAAAGAAGAAATAAGAGGCGCAGTTACTGAAGTGAAACCACCTGATGCTGTTCCTCCTATTCCAGTCAAAGGTAAAAAAGGAAAGGGCGCCGGAGATAAAGAAGATATACCAGAGCCGACCGAAGGCAAGAAATACAACACGGTATTGAGAGAAAGAGGCGAGGAGTGGAGGGATAAAGTTTATATTGACGATTTTCCTATTGACGGACCAGATTTGTATGTTGCGGTTACAGGATTCCAGGATTCATATCTTCCTGGAGCTTTGATTAAAATTGGAGTACCCTTAACGGCTGTAGTTCAGATCCGAATTAATCCTACTGTTGCTCAAGTACCTACGTCGTTGACCCGGATTTCTAAAAGAGGGCAAAGTATGAATAACCTACTAGCAGAAAAGTCCCTGCAGTTTTGGGAGGATTTGCAAAAACTTCGCATTCATCAAGATACAACAGATGATTTCAAAAATACAGCGTTTATTATATTTTCTCCACCTTACGACAAAAACCAAGCTTTGACTGGAGATGCTGATCAAATATACGATGAGTTATGTTTTCTTATGTACGATGTGCAGGATTTGGTCAGACAACGTAGAAATTTTTTGGATAACATCGATATTATTTGTATACCAGAGGACGAAATTGATGAGCGTTATGTTTCACAATATCACTCGAAAATAGACGACTTACCACTGGAATGCGTTACTCTTTATTCTCTCTTGGATAGCATGTTGCATGTTGTAAGTAAAAGTAGAATTGACGATAATAGTAGCAGATCGTCACTTTCCACAGCAAGAACATTAAATGAAGGTATTACTACACGCAAGATTGATAAAATAGAAACAGCTGAAATGTTTATTAAAAACGTTTTTGACACATTATGTAAGACAGAATCTACTAAAAAAACCTACCGTATTACCTACGGTGAGGAATATGAAACTCATAAAGATCCGATCGTAATTAAATACGGAGATATTGCAAAATACTCTACATTTCATTTGGGAAACATAGATTTAGAGAATATAGTTGGATCAACTTTGTATGGTATGCCTTTAAATCGGCTTTGGTTAAATTTGGAAAGACCCGAAGGTGAGTTTGAAGCAAAAATTAATTTTCATGTTAATGTTCTCTTGTCTTGTTTTGAAAGAGGCGACGTGGAGACAGCGGAACTTGAAAGACTTATAAGTGTATTAGCTTTCCGAAAGCTCTTTAACAACAGGAGCTCTCTAAAAAAGCAGCATTTACAGTCAAATACAATAACAGATTTTAAGAAAATATATTTAAAACGCAGTATTTTAGCTGAACCCTTACCAAAATGCCCTTCTCTGCAACAATTTAACAATTTTGCACAATCTTGTCCCTCATTGACAAAAAGTGACAGCGATTTAATTGTATCTGAAAACAAAGACGAAGACCCAGAACTGGCTAAAATAAAGTTTCTATTCGATTGTCCGGACATAAGCGAGCTAGTATCAGCTGCTGAAATCTCCAACAATCAAGCTGAAAGTCACATGATTGACGATTATGATTTTTTTGAGGATTTTTCGGGAGTTACGGCATTTCAAGTTATACACAATGCATTTAGCAAGTATAATTGCGTTGATTACAAATACTGCGAAGTAACTGATTGTTTACTATTTATGTTTTATAATAGTCAAGATAAAGATCACATATCACGTGAAGAATGGCGATGCCACCTACAGACACCTTTATGTTTGGAAGATTTTTTTGATTTCGCTTTGGATGAGCACTATGATTGGATCAAAGATCAAGAAAGAATTTACGAGGAAAATATCTTATATACAAAACAATCGGAAAGTCACAATGTTGTTGACGAATTTGCGGCAGCGTCTTGTGTTGCTGATAGTGACGTTGGCAAAGATTTATTGATGGATGGTTCTTTAAAATATCATGATATCCAGGATCAAGGAGATGAATTTACAGACTCTGTAACGGAAAAAACTTCAGGCAGAGTTACTTCCGCGTTGTCAACGATAGAGAAAAGTAGCAAAAAGACTCCACGTACGATTAAAAAGAAACAGTCTATCTCTTCTGAGTATTTAGATTTCGCGAATGAATTGCACAAACCCTTTACGGGTTATAATTTAGGCGACCGAAGAGTGGAAGTACTTGGAAAATATACTACTTTCTTTTCTAAGGATGGTACTCGTGTCTCGAGTAATTATTCTTTATTAATACCCAATAACCTTGAATACATTATTTTAAATGTAGTGCCTGGAGAAAGTGATAATGAGTTTTGGATACATCGTGCCTTAGGAGAATTCACACCAACTCATATTCGTGAAAACTGCAATTCATTTAGAGTGACAACTAAGGATCAAGTCATGATCAATATTAAAAGACAGACTTATCAAATACCGCTACCAATAGATGAAGAATCGAATGTGGATTTCATAGGAAAATCTTCCAAATTGACAACAAATGGCGACGGAGACGAACCTGTCTTATTCGAAACATTATATTTTCATTCTTTTTATGTAACGTGGCCGAACGGACATATAACAGAGAGTATGCACGAAAATAATACACCTGATATAGTATACATTAAACAGTATTACTTATCACCACTGCCGCATTTAGATGAAGAAATGCGTTGTATCAGTTTAAACGGTGAAGTTGTCATATTCAAGCCTTGTGGTGATATCGAGGTGTTGCGACCAGATGGTTCCTGTATTCTTATAACTAAATACGAAAAGAAAAAAGTAATTTCGGAGGAGGAATTGTTTGCTAGTGAAGTTACCTCTGATAAAGGTAAAAAAACTAAAGGTAAAGAAAAAAGTAAAGACAAATTAAAAAAATCGTCTTCTAAATTATTAAAGGGTTCTAAAATCCTAGATTCAAAACCGATTGAATATGAATTATTTATTCAAGAATTCGAAATTACTGATACAAGCGGTTTAAAACAAAAATGGGTAGAAGATGAATCTTATGACATAGAGAAACAATTGATTAGAACTGCCACCGATTATAATTTAGGGGAAGTATTTTCCAGGCGCATGGATGGAACTAATACTTTGCTAAATAAAGATGGTATACACGTTGTAACTTTCCCAAATAGTACTAGAATCATAACTTATTTTATGATTCGGGCAGAAGAAATTTTCCCAGAGTGGACAGATGAGGAAAAAGAATACTTTCATATGTTAGAGTCTTATGTAGACGATTATAGGGTAAAAGCTAAAGAATCTACGTCCCAGAAAAGTATATTTACCGAAAGTGTTATGAGCTCTGGATCCAAAAAACCGGAAGAAGAGGAAATAGAGATAGCGGAATCAGAAGGTTACTTGTGTGTAGATCTCATTTATACAATAGAACATGCTAATTTTACCACAGTGACAGTAGATAAAAGTAACAGGAGAATTTGCATCGATTCTCCAAACAAAACAAGTTTAAATGTAGATCTGGATAATAATTACGAACTAACTCTCGATGAAGCTACGACTGCAACATTTAATGGGAAAATATTACATATTAATTACGAAGCGTGTCCCAAATGCAAGTCTTATACAAAGTGTGACGTAGTATTTCATCAAGATTCCGAAACTCCCGATCAAAAGATTAACGCTAAAAATCAACCCGTTAATACCGATCAAGTGAATACCAAAGATACATCAAAATGGTTAATTATGAAAGATTCATTTTCCAAAAAGGTCTGTGTAGACTTCGATGGTAATATAAATTTGTTAGAAGAGCCTATACCAGAGGAAATGCAGGCTAATGCGGATGAAACTATAATTAACAATGAAGTAAGTATATTATGTATAAAAACGCGTTGTTTTCTTCCTAAAATTTCACATAAACACTTGTCTCAATAATGAATTATTCTGTTAACCGATTTTTCACTAACTGTTATTGTAAACTATTGTTAGATAATTACATACAATACAACATGACAATGACAGCGAATGATTATTATGTAGTTTTGCCAGACTGTTACAATTCTTCGTAACTTACATTACAGTCTTAACAGTTTTCGTAACTTTTAATAATTACATACTTACCTAAGAAATTTTTGATTTTAACGCAATTTTTGCAACTTTTGAGGAAATTCAACTAGTTTTGTTATTGTTAATCCTACATAGTTTACTAACGCACCCAAATTAGACGAAAAAAGTAACTCAGAAATGGCACAAACAAAATTAAATCAATCAATTACTGTCGTATAATCATTGACCTACCAACAAATGGACGTCGGGTCTAATTCAAAAACCACGAAACAAATTTCCGAAGTTAACCAACCTATACAAACGTAGTGACATGTAACGAAATATAAAAAACTAAAACATTTAACAAACTAAAACTAAAAAACTAAAACAAACATTTAAATTGTAACGTCATTGCAGTACTGCCTAATTTTGCTTGCAACAATTTAAGGGCCCAAAAACACCGTATTCAGCTTCTACTGGAAATTTAACAAAATACACCATATTTAGCTTCGACTGAAAATTACTTGAACACAAGAGTAATGGAGTAGCCTTTATCGTAAATATTAATTAATTTTTATATATATTATTATGTCGAATTTTGTACAAATTCACCTAAAGAAATAATAAAGAGTTGGGCAGATACACACATACCAATTTTATTGCAAATGTGAAAATAAGCGTGTACTATAAGAAATGTACCGATATTCCAACTAAACGTAAACTCAAATATCCGTAATTCCGAAAACCGATTTATAATAAAACCGTTACGTTTTCGTGTATTTAATGCTTTTCACAAAGACAAAATTAGTTTTTATTTTGTAATCTTCCTAAAAAAATACATTTGACATTATGAAAATTCGAGCTAACGTTATTTTGGTCATTATTGACTTCTAATAGGTAATCCCAAGCCGTAAAACGAGTACAACAATATTTTGTTAGTTATTGCTAACGTTTAATTAAAAATTTAGATTAAAATCAAAGCGACTCTATAGTTTCTTTGTTATAAATATTTCAATCGCTTGTGGTTCGAACAATTGAAAATGACCAAGAAGTTTATATATAAGCTTCTTGAAATTGACCCAATGGGTCTGTTTCCATCTTTTGCGCATGCAATGTGTAGGAAAAGGACAGTTAGCTATTTGATTATTTTGTGTGCTTTTGTATTTTATATTTTCGATTCATTTGTATATAAATTAAATACTATAAAACTGCAAAATAACATTTTTAAATGAGAACTATGATAACACAATATATGTGTTTAGTGAAAATATGATACAAAACCCTGTTTTTACACTTTACTGCCATTGACTTACAATTATATGGACGTCGGGTCCGCTCTAAAAAGTGTCCGAACTTATAGGGCGTTAAAATCGTATACAGAGCGTCATTCGCGCTTTTGTCTTCGTTTGTTCGACTGACAGCGCGCTTGTCAATGATACCGTATTGTGTAGTAAAACCTTGTAAAAATTACTCAACTAAAGTGAAAAAACAGGATGGTATATCATATTTTCAGTAAGTACTACATTGTGTTATCATAGTTATCATTTAAAAGTGTTATTTTATGCACTAGTATATATAGTATTTAATTTATATTTAAATTAATCGTAAATATAAATTACAAAAGCAATCAAAATAATCAAATAGCTAACTGTCTCTTTTCGACTCATAGCTTGCGTAAAAGACTGAACGAGACCCAACACATCAATTTCAATTGTTTCAAACACAAGCGTTTGAAATATTTAGAACAAAAATTTCATAGAGTCGCTTTGATGCTAATGTTATTATTAAAAAATTTTTTAATACATGTTAGTAACACTTTCAATTATTGTTGTACTCTTACTACGGCTTGGGGTTACGAATCAGAAGACCGAAAATACATTTGCCCGAAATAACGTTTGCATGAATTTCCATAATTCCGAAAGCATTTTTTTAGGTTTTTTTTTTTAGAATATTACAACACAAACCTAAGCTAACTTAATCTTTTCTTTGTAATAAGCATCCAAGGTTTTCAGGGTTATGAAAATTGGACTTTCCTTAATGCGGGGCAATGTTGAGTGTGTGCGTTATTATAATTATTATTATTAATTAGTACCTAACTGTTAGTGTAAGTATTTTGGAAAGCGTTTCTCTTGCGCAATCAATATCGCGCATTTTAATTTTGTAATTATCTCACAACGGCAAATACCCTACTACCGTCATAGCCGTACTTTTTCATGCACAAGAAACATTTGCAAGAACTATGAGCAGTACGACTATGCCTGTTGACGGAATCAACCGTCGTCAGTGATAAACCGTAATAATTTTATTGAATCAATGTAAGCACTACGGCATATAGAAAAGTTTAGTACGTTTTTGAGCTCAGTATAATTTCAGTACTATGCACGAACGGGTTAAGAAAATGGTAAGAAAAGAAAGGGAACCAGAGCTGATGCAAGCTTGATAAAAGACCATTATATTAAAACTTTGGTATGTGATTACATCAATGAGTGAACAAAAACACTGCATAATAATACAAATAGTAACAACCTTGATAGCTTAACGGTTTGCACTGTGGGCACTGGATGAGAAGTTCCCGGGTTCGATACCGGTAGGATCAATTTAACAAATTAACTTTTCTAAACGGTTCTGCTTTTAGTATTCTATTGTAAGACAATCTGGTTTGAAACTCGGGAACTCTCTGTACATACTCCCAATGCGTATCAGAGCAACAGAATCCCAGAGCAGAACCAATTTACAAAAGTTCATTTACCAAATTGGTTCTACCGGGAATCGAACCTGGGACCAAGAACGATGGAATTTATTTCGGGGCACAACTCAGAACACCCAGGCCAAAACAACTTTCGAAAACTTCACATTTAGTTTTAATAGTTGATCGAGCTGATTTTTTACGGTTTTTAAAAAAAATCTCGAATAACTCGAGAAATCGGGTACGAGAATTCTCGAAACTCAAGAAAAAAAATTCAGACACTCTAGCGAGCTAGGGTGTCTGTATTTTTGTTTCTTGAGTTTCGATTTTATTAAGAGTAATAAATGGCATTGTATATAATTCAACATTTACATACATTACATAAAGGTTACTACTTCATTATACCTGTGTTCAAGTAGTTTTCACTAGAAGCTACAT